ATATATATATATACAGGATTACTCTCAATCGTGACCTCTGGTATTTGCCTTGAACATGAATCTTGAAAATTTTTTTTCAAGCATAAAAATAAGAGGTGATTTGCTTGGTAAGCAAATTATTGTCCCAATATCCGCGTTTTCTGGAAGGAATTTTTTGCTCTTAACGAATTTCATCGGTATAAACAGTTGGGACACCGACAAGGTGTTCGCTGAGGTGGACGTACGCTCTTCTGTTCTACGGTATTGACATTGGATTTGAGTCCAATTCACCTTCTGTCATTTAATCAAGGTGTATAATTTTTTTGTCTGCTTACCCATCTATTTCAATCATATCGCGAATGATGAACGAAGAGGAAGGAGAGATTTTGTGAAACTTCCCCTAATCTGTATAAAATCAATCAATAAAAAGCGAAAGGTAAGCACAACAATACCAAGTTTCAGTGCTTTTGAAGTTCGATTTATAGATTTGCATGACAAACACAAAATTTGGCGTCACATTTGCTACAAAATTTTATGATTAGTCCACTGATATGAAATAATATTCAGTAAGTGCATTAATGATAGATAAACCATAGCCATGCGAGTGCATGTGTATTTTTGATTACTTCAGACTTCAGAGTGTTTTAATCAACCCAGGCTTTCGTGTACCACTTACGCTCAATCAGACAGGTCTGCGAAACCGAACAGGCGCGGAGCCTCGGCCGACGTGTGTCCAAGTCGTTCGGCATATCCGCTGTTTCGATTTGTGAATGACTCATTCGTAAAGACCGTCCAGAATAGTGATGTTGACAGTAGAATGGTTGTGGACTGAGTTCCGATTCAAAACCACTTTCTAGTGCGCCTTTCGGACTGAACGGTGATAGTACCTATGGTAAACGATTGAAGTATCGCATCATTACACATCCTATGTAGTTCATATAGTCTGAAATGAAATGACTTTAGAACTTTCATCTACAGTGGTAGATACTATGTGGTTTGTGATAAGTTGCAGAACTTAGAATCCACAGGGCTGATACGGGTGGATTAAATTTATATATGGTGCTTTCTACGGAATATAAACTAAAAGACCGTGTACAATTCGCACCCCGATTTCTGTTGTGAGGCACATTCCTTGTCTGTTGGACACAAAACAGGAAGACGGAAAGCAACAACCTGAACTAAGCGATAGTGTGACCGCCGTGTCGCTCCTTTCAACATCACCCAGTATGGGCTAGCAAAGTACAAGACGATGAACGAAGTGCAGGTATACAGGAGGGGCAGTTCACATGAAAATTATCCTTTATTAGTTTAATGAGAATATAAGTGGTACTGAAAATCAGTTATCATAGCTTGAGTGGACGCTCCACAAACAATTACGACGTAACTCGACCGGTGATCAAACGTTTGCAAACGAATTACGAAGCTCAACGAGCACTTGAGAATAAGTGCAGTTACTTATATCATAAATTTCCTATCAGCGTAATATCATCAAAGTCAACCAATCCACATTTCATGAATTTCTTGAGCCGTATTCACCGGGTGCATTGCAGTGTTTCACAAGTATCCAGACTGTGCTAAACAAATCACAGTAGAGTAATACTTAGACCAAACTAAAACGTTCGTGTTTTGCTAGTGAGCACGATACTTCTGGGTTTCCTAGACCAAAGGAAAAGCTTTTTCTTGAGAATCCGTAGTAGGAGCCTTCGGTTAGCCAAAGCCTGACCCAGAAAGCAACTGAGCGGTGCGTGAAAACCGCCATCCATTGGGGTCGGTGTCCAGTTCGTCGGACCATACGCCGTTTGGATGGATGCAAACTTCCAAGGTGCCTAATATACCTCGATGTCCGGTCGAGTCGTTGGCCATTTTAAAGACCAAGAGATTGTATGTACATGGTTTATACGTCTCTTCTTCGTTGGTTTCGTATCACAGTTTTTAGTCAACTCCCAAAGACGAACTGCCAGTGGTTTACTAGCCCCGTTATAGCCGTGGGTGTTGGATGGAGGAAACAGTTATCGCGAATCAGCTTCATATACTTTTGTGATTTACAAATGTCATGAATATCCATTGATATTGAATGTAATCAACTTTGGGATCACCGAGGAGATCCAACGATCATAAAATGATAAGTACCGCAACCCATACTACAATTTTCCTAACACAAATTGAAATTTATGTGTTCAATATAAATCCGGTTGACGGTTGAGGGCTTGAATAATATTTCAATAGTAGAATACATGGTTTTATTATAGAATAAGAGAAGTGGTCTTACAGGCTTCATCGGCTTATATGGTAGCAGTTCATGTTCATGTTGACGGTTCAATTTTCCATCTTCTCCTTGTACTGGGTGCAACGACATGATATGCTCCATCGGGTTGCACAACACATTGCAAGATTGGAAACTGGTCCTGCTTTTCTTTCCAGTTTCACCTGGGTGTTGTGCATCACGGCCTTCGGATCTTAGAGATCGTTCGGATTCAAGTTGTATGTTTTTGCATTTCCGAGAATGACTACTCACGCGACGGGGATAAGTAACCGGTTTAGATTCGGCGCAGAAGTTGTGCTCTAAACAGGCAATCAATTCCAGAAGCCGTAGCCATGCCATATGGCACAATGCTTCCAGGTATCCAATTGATTGCGCAGCTTCATCAAATTTTATTTTCTGACTTAGATCACTAGAAGAGGACACTGACACTCGCATCAGTAATTCGTTCGCGGTGTTCAATGTGCGCACATGGGTTTCCATTTGCTTCAATTTGGTCTGTCAGAAAATAGAAAATGAGAGGAAAATTACGATGAAAGAACTACCAACAGTTAGATTTTACTCATCAATTACTTGCAAGAGATCCGTTGTACGAAGTAGAAGATGAGTATCCGAGTTTTTTTCTTTTAGTTTAACTCCTCTAATTGAATATCAGTGATGCAGTCTTCAGGAAGAGAGAAGCGATCAATCAGAAGGCTATCATACAATACATCGAAAATGGGTGAAGTCAGGCGTCGATTCGAACAAACGTCTTTCGGGTCGAAAATTTGATGAATTTCATTTCTTAACCAACCGAACAAGACCAGTCGCAAATGTATTATTAAGGTTGATTTCTGCTAGTTTGGGGATATTCACCGACGCCTAACTTTAAAACACTAAAAAAAAGTATCGGTGACATCGTACCTAACCATTTTTCCTCTATTCCATTTATCTATTTTTTGTTTATTACATGCATTGCTGTAACACAACAGCTCAGAATATGGAACGCGAACAATCGAGTCACAGCTGTGGGTTAAAGGAACGGAAGTACGATTCACTAACACTGGACGTCGATGGACTGATTTATACCAATTTATAATAATCGGTTTCGGTTTTCGATCCATTTATGGTCCTAAAAAAGACAGTCAGTTTGCTGTGAAACCCAGGTTAGAGCGTCCGAATGAAAGATACATTATTTGTCACGCCACGTCTATCACCACTGGAAAAAGGCTTGCATTTCGGGGGTAAAATACCATCCAGATTCTCGGTATAAAACAAGCTCACATTTTCGAAAATTATCGTGCAATGAAAACCCGGCTGAAGAACCCCACTGTTATCCAGCCACACAGAAGGGACATCAATATGGTCCTATGCATATACTGTATTTTAGATTTTATGATAACACTACTCGCTAGTAATAACACCATGCATAGCAAAGATGCTCATCGGGTTTCACTTCAAGGCAGGACTTCGAAGATAAATCTGGACAATGTAAGAGTTACAGCATATATATATGATGTTCAGTTGTTCGCCGAGCTTGGCAATTGTATTGCAAACGTTTCATCACCAATCGAGGTGACATTCCCAATGCAGTTACTGCATTGAGAATGTCACCTCGATTGGTGATGAAACG